AGCCAATTTTTACTGTTTATATAATTGAAAGCAAAAAAGCAATTGAAGCTAAGAATTTTCGCCACCAAATTTAAAAAGAAAAAAAATCTCAGATGTTTTATTTTTATTTGAATAAACCGAAATGTGTGTGTACTCAAATACACTAATGCTCTAGGGAAGATACCGTTTAAATACTGCACTTTAGGGCACATTTCAATTAACCTAGAAACAAAACTAAAAAAATGCTATATTTTGCAACAATTTCCAAAAATTATTTTTGAGTAACGCTACAATATTCTTCTATTTTACGTTTTATTTATTTATTTATTTTTTCAAAATATCTTTGCACAAATATTTTATTGCCTTCATTTTTTCGTTCACGTCGTACATTGTTTAAAATAATTTTAAAACACACCAAGTAGCTCATTAATTTTTTGTGTGTTTTTTTAAATTATATATTTAACTATGTATTTTTTAATAAATTCAATTTGAGAGACTGAAATCTGAAAATGGTTTATGCAATAAATTGCCAAATCTGGAAGTGGCATACGGAATTAGTCGCCTAATCTATAAATTGTATTCCTAATTATCCTGATCAGGATAATGAAACAAAATTATGAAATTATTGTATAGTCATCGGTCCTTGACAAGTGCGCAAAATTTCGAATTAACCTGGCCTTTTAAAGTGGGTAAAAATAGAGTTCAAAGATTCCATTACAAACAAATTAAACTTATAAAAGCGTGTTTAAAAAAAACTGATTATTATAGAATGGTATTTTAAAAACGTGCTGCCATCTATGATTGGAGTAGGAGATTAGTTAAATGTAAATAAAATATAAATTATTAATATTTATATTGTATTTATAAATAAAAGCAAGCCTAAAATAATCTAAAAATAAGGCACGTATATTTTAATATTTCTTTATACTGATGACTATTAAAAAAATTAATTGGGTACTTTTTTATACATTATTTAATAAAATGTTTATAATTTTTGATTTTTCATAAATTTTTTGAATCTAGAAAACTGTAAGGTTGCATATCGTAAATAATGTTTCTGAAAATGATAAATGAATATTACTTTCCTATAGAGGAATTTTAATATTATTCAAATTAAAATCATCATTCGTGTCACAAATATTAGTTTTCATTTTATCTTAACTACCAACAAATTGTCATCAGATTTGGAACCTACAAATAATGAAAATTAATTCAGAGTTATCAGAAAACTATATCGGTTAAAGAAATGGTCTAAAATAAAGCGCTGCATCTTGTATTTCTTGTAAAGTTGTTTTGATATTTATAGTTATTTGGACTCAGAAAATAATTATTCGTCAGATTATGCATGACTAATAGGCATTTTATCGAGCAAATACAAGAAGTTTTCTTTTTTTTTTTCAACTGTACGGTATTCACATACAACAGCATCTCTAAAACTTTAGCCACAGCAGTTACAACTTAAATAAAAAGAAATGTTTCTTAGTAGCTGAAGAAAATTTTCTTGCTCTG